GATGTTTTCTTACTTGCAAATGTTGACCGTAATGACCCCTTTGTGCTGCCACGTGCTAGGGACAGGTGCCAGCGCATGCCAGCTTTCACCATGCTGGACTCTGACCTGAACATGACTCTGAATGAAGAAGATGAAGGCCTGCAAGTAGACAGCAGGCGTAGTCTTCAAAGCCCATGAAAGAGTTGGGTCTGGAAAAGTTTGCATACATTGTAGGCATAGTTTTGTGGTCTGTATGGGGGACCTTGTCAGGAGCTGTCTGCTTATTGATACTGCCAAAGTAGTGTTGACTTTAAAAGTGTCTCCTTGGCCTTGCGTGGTGGCACATGCCTTTAATTCCAGCATTTGGGAGGCAGAGGCAGGTAGATCTCAGTAAGTTTGAGGCCAGCCTGGTCTACATAGTGAGTTACAGGCCAGCTGGGGCTGCAGGGAGAGCCTGTCTCAAAAAGAAAAAAAAAAGGCTTCTCCTTTAACTTGTTTTAGTAACGTTCCCTCAAACCGTTCTAAGTGTCTGAGTTGCCTAGTGCCTACCCACGGAAACACTGCCATGAGTGCCTTTTTAGGACAGGCCTGGCATTTGTTTCCTAAGGATGTCCCTGAAGTCTTGCTCTGCTGATGTAGTTTATGAACTAGTAAGCCTCTAATATACTGCTAAGTGTGCTGCAGAGGAAACCCACAAGCTTATCAGATAAGAAAGCATCTTGCAGCCCATTTTGTTCCTACACATCTTTGGGAAAGGCCCTGCTTCTGTCGAGGGGCCTCTTGTTTGCTGCTGTTCAGCAAGAAAGCTCGACGGCTTGTGCACGTGGGAAGGGAATTCCATCACTCTGGCACAGACACAGCCCTGCAGTTATGACCACCAGGCACTTCCCAGCAGAAGTGTGCATATCCATCAAAGTGCTTGGCAGCAGCTTCCTAGTTTCTGAAGTAGGAGTCCTCATTTGACAGCAGAAGAGAGGTATTGGGCTGCAAGTGAAAACTACAAACAGAAGCCGAGACACAACAATCATGTTTGGCTGTGGAATTTCTTTGCTTGGTTCTCTGCGGCCAAGATCACTGAAATTGCCACTGTAGCTGCTAAAAAGAAGCCGCATGTGCTTAAAACATAACCACAATAGCATATTTGATGCGTGGTGACAGAGATGCTCCTCCTTGTACGAGTAACTGTGGTGGTACTGATAAGCTAAGTGAGGGTTTGCACAACAGGCTGAGGTGGACCACCGGGAAGCCACATTAAAAGGGAACTTTGGAAGGTTTGCCATTTTACACTCTCAGTAGGGCAGCGAAGGTTAAAATCTCAACTGCTGCCCCAGCATGTGCCCACTGTCGTTTATGACCTTCGGCCTGGGTCACATTGAGGACTGCTTGTAGAACTGTGAGCACTTGGGTTCCCTGCCTCAGCCAGCCTGGTCAGAACCCCTGGAGCAGCTCCTGACACAGAGGGTTCTCCTTTGAGGAAAGATGTAGTTACCGTGGCACATCCAGGTCCTCAGACATCTGAGGGCTATACAAGGCCCTGTTCACAACTCAAACCCACAATGCTGCAGGAAGCTACTACAGGAAAGTATGCCCATGCTAGGACACTGGCATTGTTTCTAGAGGCTTTCCAGCCAGTTCTTAGGTGACAGACTCTGAAGTGGGACATCTAGTTCTATGGAGTGCTTGCCAAGCAAGGATGAGTTTTCAGGAATGGTGCAGAAAGTTTTTTTAGAAAGTTAGAACATTTGTGGCCTGAGAGATGGCTCAGATATATGCTACTCTTCTGGAGGACCTGAATTTGGTTCCTAGCACCCACATCAGGTGGCCCATAATCACCTGTAATGGCAGTCTTGGGGGTCTGAGTATGCAGGCACCCATACACACACATGCACAGATATGCACATAATTAAAAATAAAATCTTTTTCAAAATGAAAATAGAACATTTTTAACAAAATAAAAGTAGTTATCTCATTCAGCACCCAAACACATCAGTGTCCAGGGTAAGTTGCAAAGAAAAGGACCTTTTCTTCTCATGGTGGATGTGATTCTCGAGGCTATTTGTGCAGTAGGGATTAACATGACTAGGTCTTCACTTTCTTAAATAACTATTTTAGTTATTTATTTTTAATTTTTTATTGAATTTTTGCAGTTTTCATACAGTGTAATTTGGTATCTTTTCACTTTCGATTTCACTTAAAGAAAAGAAATAATCTGGTAACCGGGTTCCAAACAGATTTAAACAGCACAGAATCTGGTTCCCAAGCTCTGTGCATTCCTATTTTTCCAAAAAATAGTGATGCCATGCATGACCACGTAGAGGAGCACAAGGTTTGTGAGATGGTGATAGCCCCATCATACAGATAAAAGCGAGAAGGAACAGAATGCAGACTCTGTTTAAGCTAGGTGATCAAGGGAGCAAGTGGGTAAACAGGATTCCTGATCCTCAGTGTGGTTCCTGGGATGTTGCAAAGCCTTTCAATATTTTTGTTTCAGAGAAAGAACAATCTAGTTAACATTTTAGCTCCAGATATTCTAGTTCTAGCAGTGCACATAGGAAGGTGTTGGATCCCTTTATTTTGTAAGGCACTAGCATCAGGAGAGCTTAGATTCCAGCTGTCGGCATGAAACACTTCATATGTTCATATTTAGCTCAGGAATTGCAAAGAGTTTTGTGCCTGGAGACATCTCCCGGGGACGGGGGGCAAGCACAGGGCTCCATCCTGGACAAGGGAGGGAAATCGTAGGCTCAGACCTGCCAGTGCGGCCCAGCCGGGCCCCAGTTATTCAAAGGAAGAGTCAAAGAGGACAGGCCTTCCCGCTCTGCTTAGTTTATGGAGGGCTAGGCGCTGTATTTAGTGAGAATTAAAGTGTATTACAGTACCACATAAAGTGTTTGTTGTATATTTCCTTGAAATGAGTTACCTACTTACAGACCATGATCCCAGACTTCTGCCTCGTGCCCGAATGCATATGCATTTGTAATTTAACGAAACTAATGACTTGAATTCAGTGCTAATGGTAGAGTTGACCTGTTAGGATGGCACCCAGCTAGAAGCAGATTGATTTCCCTAAAAGCCAAGGGAAAAAAGCACTTGTCCCACCCTCCCAACCCGCCCCAATCTCTCAGCTCTTCTAATTGCTGATCCAGCTTAGGTGGCAGTGTTCATGGTGTGCTGTCCAAAGCCTGAACGGAAAGCTGGCTGCTCCTCGGATCCCGAGCTCTACTGGAGTCACAGGCTGCAGAGATGCATCATCTCCCCCGTAGGCTGGCACACTGGAGGGACGCCAGCATCCTCACATGCTGCGTCTGAGAGAACCACTGGGAACCTTGTTAAAATGAGGGTGGTTTTACATGCTTTTCCCACAATAGACCATAAATATGTGAAGTACTATGTGTGATAATTAGTTCTCTTTAACCATACCACATAGCAGATACATACTTAAAATACCATTATTCACCAGAAGTAGATGTGCCTTTTAGTTTTTTCAAAAACAATGTTATGGGGAAAAATGAATTGTTAATCCACTGCAGACACAAACCTACTGACTGGAGTTCAGCCTGTGTTGGAAGTTTCGAACGCCTGTAAGCATTTTGCATAGTCAAACGCAGTACATTACTTAACATAGATTACTTGAATTCTTCATTTCCCTCTTAATGTGACTGATTTATTTAAAATTCAGTTAAGGTTATTATTGTTGTATGAGGAGAGAATTCTCAAGCTACATCACCTCTTTCCCCAAAGCCTCTAAGCATTGCCTTGGTCCACCACAGGAATGATCTAGTCAGAGTAGATGGGGTCTACGTGCCCAGCAGTGACATTCGGCTGCATGTGGAGAAAAGTTCCACCAGTATTTCCAGTACCGTGAGGACTGGAAAACACAGCCCTCTGATTGGTGTGAACTTAGAAGTTGTGTGCATAGGCAGAGAGCTCAGGAGGAAAGCAGCAAGTGTGTCCACACTACCAGAGCTAGGACCGGGTACGGGGAGTCTGATGGGGAATTCGTGAGCAAAGTGCAATGCCACACAACTAATCGCAGCAGACTTCCCGGGCAGCCTGGGCTACATAGCAAGTTCAGGGCAGCCTGGGTTATATGAGACCCTGTTTCAAGAAACAAAACAAGGGAAAAAATATCTCAGATTGTTTCTAGATAATAAAGTAGCACAGCACACATCTGTAATCAATTTATGTTACTTACAAAATCCTGTTATAAGAAATATTTGCTTCCCCCTGTACTTAGCATATTACAATTACTTTCTGTGTATGACTTCCTGTGTATAAAGTCATTTGGTGGGAATTACATTAACTGTGTAGAAAACCATAACCTAGTGACTGAAAAGTTGTAGCATCTATTAAAGTAGGCCAGGCCCATTTAGTTCCTGGCAGTGTGGTTTCACTGCCCCCAGGCCCAGCAGTTAACTTTGCCTTGGGCATAGCCTCTGCCTTCATCCTGATTCAGTGCCATGGACACTTGGCCTTGTTGTTTAGATGTCTAAAAATGACAAAAGGTAGACCAGTTTTCCTGAGCGATAAATAAAATAACAAATAATTAGCTCAGAGGCCAGACTAATAGAAATGGAGATAATTACTAATAGATCTATGGCATAATTCACGCAACAGATTTTTTTAACATTTTAAAAAATGATGACATATTGAAGTTCTCTGTAAGAGGTGTTATGATGCTCTCTAAAAGACTGTAGCAGCTGATCCATGGTAAATAAGGGGTTTTCCATTACATCTATCATTTCTTTTTATTGGAAAATGATTTGAAATTTCAAAATATATCAAGAACGGGAAATTTTCATTTGCAGCATCATGTCAAGTACAGCGCCCTAATTCAGTTCCCACCATTTAGCACAAGGTGCTTCTGCTGTGCATCTGTCAGTGACTTCCTGTCAGGTGCTGGAAGGAGTGTGTTTTATAGCAAAGCCTTTGTGTACTGTAATTCTTTTTATGTTTTTTTTTTTTACATGAATGCGAACGTGTGAATCAGACCTTGTATTGGCCTCTTCTTTCTTCCACAGAGCATTAAGAAGAAGAATACAAACAAGCAGGAGATGGGCACCTACCTGAGGTTCATCGTCTCCCGCATGAAGGAGCGGGTGAGTCCTGCTGAGCTTCCCAGCCTCTCCCCAGCAGGCTTTGCTGCGGGTCTTTCTTCCACCATGAGCAGCCAAGAGTCAGTACATGTGAATGTCATAGTGCAAAGTGAGGGAGCTGCTGCCGCTAGCCTTCATTTTGGCCTGGTTTGGTTTCCTCAACACAGGGCCTGCCATTGACTTGAGTTTGTAGTCCTCCTGCCCCAGCCTTCTGAGAGCTGGAATCTCAGGCCTGTACCACCAAATCTGCATCCTATTGTGTTTGTTTCCTCCGATAAATGGTTCTGTGTTAGGCTAGATTTTGCTTTTTGTTTTGTCTTTTTTACATAAGCATTTTATTAATTGCATTAGATTAAGCCAGGCGTGGTGGCACATTCCTTTAATCCCAGCACTGGGGAGGCAGAGGCAGGCGGATCTCTTGTGAGTTCAAGGCCAGACTGGGCTATATAGTGAGTTCCAGGACAGCTGGGGCTACAGGGAGACCCAGTCTCAAAAGACCAAAAAAAAAAAAAAACCCACATTTTGATTAAATTTCTCAAAAGGAACACTTCATTGGTTATTGCAATTTTAAATTAAATAGCATTTCTTTCTTTTGAAACCTTAAGGAATGCCACATTAAACTGTGGCAACTTCCCAGTAACTTTTAAAATACTTCTTGGAAGGTTTTTTTTTACAGATAGAAAATACTGTGACTTTTAAGGATTGATGTTTTATGGGTTTCTTTGTGTCTTAACAACTTTCTAGGCCATAGATCTTAATAAAAAGGGAAAGGACAGTAAGCATCCGATGTACAGGAGGCTGGTACATTCAGCTGTGGACGTCCCCACCATACAAGAGGTAAATGGACTCCTTTTTTTCCACTTCATATGTTTTGAACTGCCAGGCTAAGGATGAGCAGCAGCACGCAGCAGTGATGGCTGCTACTCCGTCCCGTGCATTTTCTCTGCTTCTTTTCTGACTGAAGCATTTGTACTTAAGTTTCACACACTCCAGTGCAAAATTTAAAAGGCCTGGTGTTAAACAACTTGTAGCTACTTGATATTTGTTGATTATGGAAAATGTGTTCTAGCCTGGGCAGTTTAACATTGTGCATGTAGGTACTTATTTCTGAGCATGGCTTTCTAGTTTTGACAGAAACTAGTGCTCGGGACTTTCTCTTAGCTAAAACTTAGGACATAGCATGGATTTGGAGTGTTGGGAAACCACAAAAGGAAGAAAATGAGGGTTGTAGCTACAGAAAGTATTCTTAAAGCTCTTCACATTGCCTGCTATAGCTCAGGCATTTTAATGTATTTGCCGATTGCCAATCTTAAATTACAGCAGAGTCCAGTGGAAAATGCAGACATGTTGCTGGTCAGGATTACTGAGTTACTAATGTTGCATTTCTTGTGCTGTGCCAAAATTTTTAAATCTTGTGGTTGGCCATAATAGTCTGTAAGGAAACCTTAGGACCAGTGGAGAGCTGTCTTAGGAGTGTCTTAATGCCCTCCTGAGCTGAGGACTCTGGCTGGGTCACATCAGTACAAGAAAGGATTAAGCCACTTCGCTGCTTCAAAATGGCCACAGACCCTAGAACAGAAGCAACAAACTTAGATTTTGTCTGGGCTCCTTGTCCTACACTGTTGGACCTGTTGAGGCTGAAGTCGCCTCACCCCTTCCCATCCCTACCCCCCTGCTCAGGGGGTTCCTTCCTGTCGACTCCTCCAAGATCGCACTGCATCACCTTTCCTATGAAGGCTCCCTGATTCTTCTAGACTCATCCTTAAAACAAGGACTGGCACTAGCTGGGTTAATGAGTATTTGGCCTTGTGTTTAGTAGCAAGTACTAACTGAACAAAAGTCCTGTAACAAAACTTAATAAGACAGGATTTTTATAACTTTTTCAGTTCATAATCCAGTTTAAAATCTGAAGTATGAGCCATGATTTAGAGCAAAACTCAAGGCAAAGTGCTTTGGGAGTGCTGGAGGGAAGGTCTCAGCCTAGGGCAGCTCCTGAGCGGCACCAGGACCGGTTTTACCCTAGCCCAACAGAGGCGGCAATGCCAGAGGGAATCCGGTGTCTGATCTGGCAGGTACCCTGCAGGCCAGTAGTGCCCTATGGGATGCAGGTAAGCCCACTGGGGAGAATCTGGGAGCCTTCACCACGGAGGGCAGTTGAACTAGGATTAGAACAGGAGAGAAGCTACTTGAGCAAGTGGAGCGGGCACATGGGATCTCAAGTGTTCTGTAGGGGCCTTGGTTTCCTAGCTGTTTCCAAGTAACATGGTTATTTGAACACTTGAGCAGTTTGGCCCCCTTTCCTGAGGAAAGAAACCCTTCAAAATCCCTCTGTAATCCTTGCCTTTGGCAAAGCAAGCTACAGAGAGTGCCTTGAGGAAGTCTGCGTCACACTAATAGGAGGAACCTTGCATTGCCTTCATGTGTCGAGGAGCTCCTGACGCTACTGCTGAGCTAGTGCTTTAGGCCACCTCAGAACCACAAACAGCCGGGTAGTTTGGTGACTCACCTAGACTAACACTTCTGTTTTTCAGTCTTTCTCTGGCTGTTAGGAACAGCAGGCGTGTAGTTCTGTCTCCTTGAAGCATTCATTGGCCAAGCTCAGAGCTGCCACCGAGGCTGCAGATGCAATCGCTCAGTCAGTCCACTGTGGCTGACGAGGCTCCGATCTGCCACACCGGTGTCAGTAGTGCTGCCTGGCCATCAGTTGTGGGCACAGCTACAGATGTGAATCATCTGAAAGAGTTGTCGTGAGTATGGCCAGACAGATGCCACTCATGTTTGTGCTTTTGTCTTTTGCCCTCTGCAGAAAGTAAATGAGGGGAAGTACCGGAGTTACGAAGAATTCAAAGCTGACGCGCAGCTGCTTCTCCACAACACAGTGATTTTCTACGGAGGTTGAATACTTCTTCTCTTTTGTGTGCATTGGAAATTCCATGTTGAAGATGCCTTTCACATTATTATAAGTAATAATGTTAGAATTTAAATTTATGGCTGCTTGGTGATGTAGCTTACAGAGGTGACTGACTGCAAGGAAAACTGATGAAAATATATTCTTTTTGTGGTTTGTTTTTCTTTTATGCTGATGGGGATCAACCCAGAGCCTTGTGCATGCTAGGGAAGCACTGTACCACAGAGCTGTGCCCCTAGCAAAATGTCTTCCCATAGTTTCAAATGGATTCACCATAGCTTTTCTAAGCTTTCCAATCCTGATACGTTCCCACTGTCTCTCATCTTAAAAGGAAGGAAGTTGCTCTACTTTTAGAGAATCAGTGATTGTGTTAAATGTAAAATAAAACTTGCCTGTAGAATGTGTTGTGCAGCCTGAACTTTATGTAAAATATGTTCTTGGAGCTGGGCGTGGTGGCGCACGTCTGTAGTCCCAGCACCTGGGAGGCAGAGGCAGGCGGATCTCTGTGAGTTCAAGGCCAGCCTGGTCTACACAGTGAGTTCCAGGACAGCTGGGGCTGCAGGGAGACCCTGCTTCAAAAAGACAAAAAAAAAAAAAAAAGTCCTTGGAACTGTGTGCATCTGCTTTTGCCTAGCTGAAAGCACATAAGGTGCTTGACTTTGGTGATCTTAGTTTCTAGATGAGTAACTATAGGCTGTGTTTGTCTCTAACTACAGCAGACAGTGAGCAGGCAGACATCGCGCGGATGTTGTACAAAGACACATGCCACGAGGTACTTACATGCCCAAGAACCAACCTTTGCTACAATCCAAATATATTTGAGGCTTTTATCTTGTTCCTATATTTTAATTATGGTGTTTCCTTTTAATGTAATTAGATTTTTCATGTTTGACATACATGGGAAGTAAGTAAATATTTCTGGTAAAACTGATCAAAGAGAAATGATGGGAGGGTTAGTTACTTCAAGTAACCAATGCAGTTGGTGAGATGGTAAAGCTTATGAGTGTGCTGCACAGGCAGTGCTGGTCACACTTTGATGAGTCACACTTGGCTCCCCGTAGCAAAAAAAAAAAAAAAAAAAAAAAGAGAGAGTCAAAAGAGCAAAGTTTCTATTCATCCAATAAGTGAAATATGTAGTCTTTCATATTCAGAACATCTACAACTCTATTGTCTTTGTAAAGTCCTCATATGTTTTATTTCCTCAGTTCATTTCAAATTTGACTCTAGCTTTTTTAGTCATTAAATACTTATAGAAGGAAGGAAGACAGAAAGACAGATAGGCTCTGGTGATCAGCGTAGGCTCCCTGTGTGGGGGGCTGTCTTCTGAAAAGAGAGACTGGTGAACAGAAACAGACAACATGTCTTTATAAGTTACAGAGAGAATATCATACAGGCAGGGGACTGAAATGGAGGCAACACAGAGTGCGGACCACCGTGGTCCTTGGGCCCTCCACATGCTGGTCAGGAAACCCCTTCTGAAGACATGCTGTAGTGCAGGTGCCGACTGGGCGTGGGGGAGCGGGGCAGTCAGAGTCCAGCCTGCCAGGCTGCTTCAGCCTCTTGTCTTGGTGACAGGACCTTCTAGAAGGACAGACAGATTTGTCACTAAGCTTAGTAGATGGCATGCACTGAAGGCTGCCCAGAGGAGCATGCCAACCGCCGTCGCTGTTGTGTGCTGTCTGGGCCAGTGTGTCCTCTGGAGGCTGAACAGCTGCTTTGTTTTTCAGCTGGACGAACTGCAGCTCTGCAAGAACTGCTTCTACCTGTCAAATGCTCGTCCTGACAACTGGTTCTGCTATCCTTGTGTACGTGAGATTCCATGATTTACCTTAGTTCCTGGTTCTATAAAGATCATACGACTTCTGAAATATTTCTTTATATCATCGTCTATGTGGTTTTAATATGAACAACTGTGATCATTGTACAGTTCTGAACTGTAAACAGCGTTTCAGTAAGATTGAGCATTGGGCCCCTGAGGACAGTATAGTGAATTTTTACTTTTCCTCCTTTTTAACAAGAAGTCTGTGGCTTTGCATATGTCTGTAGCTCCTTCATTTCCTTAAATGACTAGAGAGCCTCTGAGTATTTTGAGGGCAGCTTCATTGACACTGGCATTAGATGGTCTCAGGAGACCTTACTGTGCATATCTTGCCTGAGGAACCCTGGAAGATGGAGGCCTGTGATTCCATAGGCTTGGGCAGGGCCTGAACAACTCCCTATCTCACAAACCCCAGGTGTTGCTTGCCCTGAAGCAAGCCAGGGCATTGTGTTTGCTGCTGCTGTCCACAGGCCCCTGGCTTTATCCCAGTCCTCCCTCTCCTAGGAAGTAGTTCACGTCTACTCTTCCTTAAGCAGATAAATTTTGGGCATTCTTCTGATAGTGAAAGAACTGTTATCCGAATGGATTATATTTTATTTAATCCACACTATTTTACTTAAATGCTTTAAAAGAAATGCATTTCATTTTCAGATACCTAATCATGAGCTAGTTTGGGCTAAAATGAAAGGTTTCGGGTTTTGGCCAGCCAAAGTCATGCAGAAAGAAGACAATCAAGTTGACGTTCGCTTCTTTGGCCACCACCACCAGAGGTAACTTAGTGCACAGTGACCAGAGCTGTGCATGCAGATGTCTGGTAACTGTGCTGCTGGAATGCCAAATTATCTCCCCAATATTGTTGCTAAACAGGACATTTTCGATGGGCTGCTGACCTTCAGACTCAAAGCAGACTCTGCTGAGATCAAATCCATTGTGCAGGGGTAGGGTCCTCATAGGCGCCCACTTCACATTGAAAAAAAAAGTAGGAACCATTGAACTATAACATTATTTTGCATGCCTCATAAAGAGATGACAGCCTCTAGCACGATAAAATTACAAAACTGCGTTCACCACGAATGAAAGCCCTGATGCTCCTGAACACTGAAACCTAGGAAGTGTAAGTGTTGTCGTAGTAGTGCCGTCACCATCACTACTGATCCAGAAAGGGAACACGCTTTGTGAAGGGTGACTGGATGGGGTTAGTGAGTTCAATGATAAAGCCAGACAAGGTTTCCACTCAGTGCCCATCTCACAGAGACAGATGTGAATACCTTAAATTCTGTGCTCTCTCACATAGAGACTTATGGCAAGAAACATTAGTGACAGAATGTACAAATTCAATCCAACGTGCTCCTTGTAGCTTATGACTGAGTGGGAAGTTTCAGCATTCCTTTGGAAGTGCATCATATTCAGTTGGTTTTGGCTCACACCCACAGTCAGTGAGGCACCGCGCACGAGCAGTGGGTTGGAACTGCACCTGTCCTCCTGTCCTGCCCTTCCTGCCCCTGCTGTCTTCTTTGAGGCTCTGAGCCTGTAGTGCCCACCTCCTGAGCTTTGATAAGGAGAAGCACAGCACCTGGTGTGAGTGATCCTCAGCACATGCAACTATATAAAGAAGAGGAGGCAGGGCGTTTAAAAAGTTTCTGTAAATAAGCAAAATTCTACTTAAATGATTTAGATAGATGGGACTCTGGGACTTTATACTTTAAAAGAAATCTGCTTGGAGCAGAAGAGATGGCTTAGCGGTTAAGAGCACTGGCTGCTCTTATAGAAGACCCAGGTTTCCTTCCCAGCACCCACATGGTGGCTAACAACCATCTGTCTGTAGCTCCAGTTTTAGGGGATCCAGTGCCCTCATCTGTCCTCTGTAGGCATTGCACAACATGGGTGCACTTACACACATGCAGGCAAAAGACTCATACATAAATAAAAAAAATAAGAAGAAAATATATCTGCTGTTCCACTGTATTATACAGAATCATTATTCTGGGCACAGTATGATTAGACTAATAAGGTATTTGGAGTGAATGCTTTGTTCGGACACAACAATTATATAAGAATATTTGATGTTTTGAAAATATTATATAGTCATGAATCAAGCACCAGGAATATTGCTATAAGGCACTAGGTCTAAGTTCTGATGTGATGTTCTTTTGCTAGCACATCATATTTCATATAGGAGGGAGACAAAGAATTCGACAGATAAACAATTTTAGATCAGCTCCTTCTGGACTTGGGTTCTTGTGGTCTGAGGGCTGAGACAGCCACTGCTTTACCCTGGAGAGCAGCTTCCGTGGGTGTTTATAGATCACAGAGTTTTGCCTTGCTGAGAAATGGCAGTTTCCCTAAGGCATCCAGACCTTTTTGCTGTGTTTTGCTGGAGGATAGGATGGCCCAGGTCAGGAGCCAGCCCAAAAGAAGCTTAGTGCAGACTCAGAATTATGTTACATCTTTATAATACTTTAAGTTGTGGGATGTCTGTTTGCACTTTTTATTTTACCTCAAAGAGTGTGCTCAGGGATAGTTTATAAAACTGAAATCTATGTGTAGAAACGGCAGGAAGAACACGGAGATGTACTCTGAGCTGTGTTGAGAGTGCAGGGTGAAGAGAAGCCTCATAGTTCACCCCTGCACTGCTTGTAACAGAACCCTTGGTGAAGTCGCATATTTGAAAACTGAGCCAAGAGCACTTTTGCTGACTGCCTAGTGTATGACAGGAACTCATGACTTATGTGCTGTCAGTTTTCATCTGATTCAGAATCTCACAGTAGAGAACTCTTCCACAGCATTCAGACCTGCCAGCCTGTACCATCATGCCACATGCCACGACGTGGAGGCAGTGTTTATAAATAATGCTACACAGGTGCCCGTGGAGCCAAGTTAGCTAATACAGACTCGAACAGTATTGCTGTCTTTGATGTGCTTTTAAATTAGGAAGCACATAGCTTATCTTGAACAGACCAGCATTCTTTGTGGCTAAAGCACATGTGGGCACAGTTCTAGGGGATCCCTCAGAACAGCCCGGTATTCCTGGAACTCTACAGTAGAGACTGAGAATGAGAACTACAGTATGCTGTATAGTCACAGAAGGAGAATGGGAATGGGAAATGAGAGAGAGCACCTCTGTATCTGCAGTGATGCAGGTGCCCCATAGCTCTCTGCCTCCCCTGTGTTCACTCTCTGCAGAGTCTCAGCATCTTACTCATTTTGGGGAGACCAAACACAAAAGGAGTGCTCTGGCCTGTTCCTTGTTCCCCGCATCCTGGGCCACACTCCCCTCACACTGCACAGTATTATAGTTCCCTCTCATTTCTCTCTAGTTTAGTCACAAGACTCGTAAAGTCAGAAGAGCTGATGCTTCACTGAGCTCCAGCCATCAGACTGTTTCTCCTGAGCCTCTGGTGGGCAGCATACCCCCCAGCTGTTTGGTGAGGGAAGCCTGGCTTGGCTGTGCTCCATGGGGCCCCCTTTGCTGCAGCAGATCCTGCAGTGATTCAAATCTAGTCAAGGGATGAGCACCTGGGCTAAGTTCCTGGAGTCTGTGCACCCTTCCTTGAGAGTTCCAAATCAAGTTTTCCATTCTGCATTTCTGAATCTCCAGTGCATATAGGTCAGAGGGGCCAAGTGCTTTGCCGTGAAATGATCCAAGCCCATCTCCCTGTATTAATCTCATGTATCTAATGTAGAGGGGTATGGCAGAAATAGAGCTAACACTGACACCTGAGATGTGTATCAAATAAAGCTGTGGGCATTCTGAAATGACTCTGTAGGGTGATCAGTTACAACTGGATGATCCAGCTAGCTTCCTTCACTCAAAACAATACACTACTTTTCAGAGTCTGAAGAGAAGAGAGATGAACTGTGACAGGCTCAACTGATCGTGGTAGTTACTTTTCTGTTGCTGTGATAAACAGCATACTCAGGGCCACTTATAGAAGGAAGAGTTTATTGGGCTTACTGTTGGGGGGTGGGGCAGGGGCAGCCAGAGCAGAAAGCTGAGAGCTCACACCTTCAAGCAGGGCCATGAAGCAGAGAGTGAGCGGGAAGTGGGACAGGGCTCAAAGCTCACCCTCAGTAATGTGTCTCCTCCAACATGGCCTCACCTCCTAACCTCTGCAAACAGTGTCCCCAAGTGTGAGCACATGTTCAGATGTGAGCCTGTAGGGACATTGCTCATCCAGACCCACACTGCTTAGAAAAATAGTGAGGGCACTGGAGAGGTGGCATGGTGGTAAGAGCCCTGACTGCTCGATTCCTAGCACCAACATGGTGGCTAGCAACATTCCATAACTCCAGTTCCAGGGGATCATATACCCTCTTCTGACCTTTGCAGGCATTGCATGACACAGGTGCGCATACATCCATGCAGGCAATACACCCACACACATAAAAATAATTTTAAAATTTTCAAAAAAGGGTCAGGGTAAGAATAATAAATAATAATGAGCAAGTTGAAACAGACATGAATCACTCCAGTTCTAGAAGTCTAATGGCAGAAAAACAGAAAAATTCCTCACCTGTCATCTGTTGGTGAAGTTTCTCAGACCTTAAGTGTCAGCCTGAGTATGTCAGAGCTGCTGTAGATTTACCACAGGCTGAGGGTCCTCAGCACTCTGAGAGCCCTTACCACCACTGTGGGTGCTTCTGACCCAGTGCTTCTAACCTTACCATCAAATGCTTCCTGCAGGGCCTGGATTCCTTCTGAAAACATTCAGGATATCACAGTCAATGTTCACCGACTGCATGTGAAGCGTAGTATGGGTTGGAAAAAGGCCTGCGACGAACTGGAACTGCATCAGCGTTTCCTCCGTGAAGGAAGATTCTGGAAGTCTAAAAACGAGGACCGAGGTGAGGAAGAGGCAGAATCCAGTATCTCCTCTACCAGCAATGAACAGGTGAGTTTTGTCCGGTGAGACAAGCAGGTGAGTGGTGTCCTGGGGAGGAGGGTCCTGTAATTCTTATCTTTAAATGTGGAAGTTTCTGTACAATCCTCACTGTAATAAAGAGGTTTTGACATTTATTCTTTCCCTTTCATACAAACATTTGTAAAGAGTTCTTCAGAAGTAACCTAACCTATTGCAGAGGTGTGAGTAGGTCTAAGCGTTAAGGGCTTGGAGCCTGACTCGGCTGGCCGGTGGGAAGTCAGGAAGTGCACAGCTGCTGCTGTTGGCTCCTGGGCTCCTTCCCACACCGGTTGGGGGCGGATAGCTGCTGATTGGATGCAAGGACTCAAGTCTCTCTTGTGGGTCTACTACAAGTATTTTCACGTCGAGCTATCTCATGCTGTGTGGAATAATAAGATGTTACTTTTATAATGCCAGCAGCTGAAGGTCACTCAAGAGCCACGAGCAAAGAAAGGACGACGGAACCACAGTGTGGAGCCCAAAAAGGAAGTAAGTCGCCCACCTCCCCGTGTCCAGGGGGCAGGTGAGAGAGGAGGGGGCCTCGGAGTGCGGCCAAGACAGCCACATGCTCTCCCTCAAGTCAAGGCCCAGTCTCCTGACTCCTGTCGCTGTGAACTGCTTCTCGCCCGGCACCTGAGCTCACAGTCTCCATCCTCAGTAAGCGGCCCGGAGCAGGGGCGGCTAGTGAACAGGGCATGCTGCAGCCTCCCGCACCCGAGGCTTTCTCGTTATTGAAAACAGCAAGTATCAGTAAATCAGCCACACCAGCCCTTGAACACAAGGAGACTGTGGTTAAGCTCAGTCTTTTACAAGTGTGTAAACTGTGTGTCTTAAAATTATAAATCTTGGTGTATGCCACACATACTCAGTGAGAAGTAGTTTAGGATCTTAGGAAATCTGTTGGTGAATCTAGTCCAAAGAAGTAATTCTAAGTTGTTAATGATCTTATAATTTGTATAACAAAATTCTGTTTATTTTAAAAGTAAGACTTAGCTGGGTGTGGTGGTGTTCGCCTTTAATCCCAGCACTTGGGAGGCAGAGGCAGGCTCTGTGAATTGGAGGCCAGCCTGGTCTCCATAGGGAATCCAGACCAGTTTGGGCTACAGGGAGACCCTGTCTCAAAAAGACCGAAAAAAAAAAAAAAAAAAAAAAGAAAAAGTAAGATTGACCCACCGTATTTCTATGAGATGAAATTGTAAATGAAGTTTCTGTTTACAATTATTATACCTATTAATTGCATAATTTTTCATTCACTGTTTGATTTTGGGAGGATTTGTCGAATTGTAGTAAAGTAGAACATAGCATTTTAATTACCTGCTAAAAAGCAGCAGTTACTAGCTGTTGTGTGTGTGTGTGAATAGTATCCTGACAAGGTTGAACTTTTCTGCCCTCTTTGCTTCTTCACAATTTAGGAACCAGAGCCAGAAACAGAAGCAGTAAGTTCGAGCCAGGAAATCCCCACAATGCCTCAGCCGACCGAGAAGGTGTCGGTGTCCACCCAGACCAAGAAGTTAAGTGCCTCTTCCCCAAGAATGCTGCATCGGAGCACCCAGACCACTGGCGACGGCGTCTGCCAAAGCATGTGCCACGACAAGTACACCAAGATTTTCAATGACTTCAAAGACCGGATGAAGTCGGACCACAAGCGAGAGACAGAGAGAGTTGTCCGAGAAGCTCTGGAGAAGGTAAGGCTGGCCATCGCTGGGGCGCTGTGGAGCCTGGCCTGTCCTCGTAGCTTAGCTTCTCACTGGGGACAGGTGAGCAGACCGCCCACCCTTGTAGTACCGTGATTGATAACACGGTTCTCTTCAACACGGTCCACACTTGGTGAAATAAAGGGAAAGAGCCTCTTTTCAGCAGAAAGTGCGATAAGTGTTTGCCTGTGGATGATCTGTGTTAATGTCTGTTCATTTCAGCTGCGTTCTGAAATGGAAGAAGAGAAAAGACAAGCTGTCAATAAAGCTGTGGCGAACATGCAGGGTGAGATGGACAGAAAGTGTAAGCAGGTGAAAGAAAAGTGTAAAGAAGAATTCGTGGAAGAAATCAAGAAGCTGGCGGCACAGCACAAACAGCTCATCTCTCAGACCAAGAAGAAGCAGTGGGTAAATAGTGCTGCCTTTCTAAGCCGTTTCTGAAAATGTGCTACGTAGCCTGTGAGCATCAGCATGTGCAGAATTATTCATGGAAGACTGTCAGGTTTTTGCTAATTCTGTGCTTCTTTGAAGTCAGAAGGCTCTGGAGAGCAGGTCCTGTTGCTGGGCACTGCCTGGGGCACCTGGGAAGCTGAGCACCAGTAGTGTGGTGATAGCCTGTTGAGGACGGTCTGTCTCCATCCATGCCCCTGTTGGCTCTAGGAACTGGCCGACTCCCACGCTCACCTGGTGCCTTTCTAGACCGCTACTCCTGCAGGTGCTGCCGGGTAGCCAGTTAGATCCTCAGATGTCCCAGCCCTGACAGTCACTTGAGCCAGTTTTAAAGACCAGTCTTTTCTACATTAGTAATCCTGTCAGTGATTTCCAGGCACACCCGGTAAACCTGACTGAAGTGTGTCTGTGGCCTTTTGCTAAGTCTGCCCTTCCCCAGGATAGAGGTCTCCCCACACGTGCTCTTCCCCAACAGCACCCTAGGAACTAGGGTGGGAGACAGTTCATGGCTTGGTTTCAGTTCGAACGACATTCAGTATAACATTTTAGACCTCATTTTATCTAGCGTACTGTTATGAAGAGGTTCTGTAAATGCGTGTGAAGTGTTCATGAAGAATGAAACAGTAGACACAAACACACTGTGATAGAGACTTGGCCAGGACAGCGTCTCAGCACGTAGAGTGGAAGCCCTTAGAGAGCAGAGCAGATGGGCTCACAGGTGGCGGCAGGATGCCAGATGCCGCATCATGACTGCGGGAAGCTAGAGACAGGTCACTGGCCCTGTGGAGGGGTGTCCCTGAAGTTCACAGAAGAATCAAAGGAGGTGGGAGAGACTAGTCTCAGGGCTGCTGCTTGGCTGCCACGCAGAGGAGTCGGCTCTGTGTTGGCAGTTTCACACTTTTTTTTTTTTTTTTATTGTTTAACGAGTGTGTTGCCTGCATGTATGTGAGTGCACCCATGTCATGCAGTGCTGCGGAGGTCAGAAGAGGGCTTCAGATTCTCCTGGAACTGGAGTTAAGGACAGTTTGTAGCTGCCATGTGGGTGCTGGGAATCGAACCCAGGTGCTCTGCAAAAGCAGTCAGTGCTCTTAACCGCTGGGCCATCTCTCCAGCCCCCTTCACACTTCTTTTTAGACAAGGTATTTGAAGCTCAGGACATTAAATGGTGGTTAAACGCCTAGTGGGTGCTAGGATCGTCCTAAGCCAAGGTCCAGAACCCAGGCTTCCTGCTCCGGCCCTGTCTCTCATCACTGTGAGAAACAGCACAGGGTCACAGGATGCCAGTGCTCCAGATAAGACCAGAACGACATGCTAGAAGCCTGCTGGGAGAGGAGGGAAAGGCCGGGCAGGCACAGCAACAGTGCTGTTTAAAGATGAGGAGCTGAAGATGTGAGGTCAGCTGTCTGAGGTCACGGCCTCTTATTGGCTCAGGCCCAAGCTTCCGGTCCCAAACCCTAAGACTCATCTAAGCAGCTTCCAGAAATAACCGCCTCCCCCCCACCTTTCCAGCACAGACACAACCAAAGCTGCCATGTTAGCATAACAAAACCACACAGAAAATCTTAAAATGCTCATCTTAACAGAGTAAAGCATTCAGTGCAGTCGAGAAGGAAACTGGAAGGTAGAACTTTCACAGAGCCAGGCAGGGCGCAGCCGCCTGGAGTCCGCTGTGCAGTGGCCTCCTCACGTGTCCGCCAGTGCAGCCATCAGCTCCACAGCCCTGCTGCAGACTGAGCCTGGACAGCCCTAGTTTCTTCTCCAGGTGCAATAGACCCACCTCAGTACCAGGGGTTTTGACCATAGCACTTGGGGATCAGGGCTTTTCAGGGTGAGGGCTTTAACAGTGGCAGGCCCATACCCCTAGTAGTGCCCTCCCTAAAGATTGGCAGTCAAAGGCATCTCCAGGGCGCAGTGTGGCTTGCTGGTGGAGTGCTTGCCTGGTGCAGAGGCCTGAGTTCAACCCTCAGCACCACTCACCCCAAAACGTGACTCGCTAGACGTTGTCAAGTAAGATGGGGACGGCTGCCCCAGTGTTGTAGTTCAAGTTCCTAGGGGCCTTGAGGGAGCGGTAGTCTGGTGCTAGGGAGCAGAGTCAGCTGGCGATTAGAATATGGGGAGGAGCTTTGTGAAGAGGAAGGAACTGTGGTGGTGGAGACGGAGGACACAGAGTAGTGGTGGTGGTGGTGGTGGTGGTGGTGGTGGAGGAGACGGAGGACACAGCGTGGTGGTGGTGGAGATGGAGGACACAGGTGCCGGAAGGATCTGCAGACACAATTCAGCTGCCGGGCCTCCCACCGGTTCCTGTCTTCTCCACAGAACACCCGGTGTGGAGGGTCTTGGATGCTAGTGTGCGTTGAGCCGCAGGCTTAGGCGGCCCTTAACCTGTTCACTTCCTTCCTGCAGTGCTACAACTGCGAGGAGGAGGCCATGTACCACTGCTGCTGGAACACGTCCTACTGCTCCATCAAGTGCCAGCAGGAGCACTGGCACGCCGAGCACAAGCGCACCTGCCGCCGCAAAAGATGAAGCCGGCCGACCACGTCCCAGACACAGCGGGTTTTGTTTCCAAGAAGCCAAAAGTGTTTAGAATTTGCTTCCCATTTTGCACCAGCCTTTAAACACTTTTCGTGAAGAAATTTTGCACAGTAGTTTAAGTCTTTCGTTGATGCTCCTCCGGCGTTTTTCAGGGGCTCAAGTAACATCAGTGGAGGGTATTACTTTAAATAAATTTTAATTGAGGATTTGTTGCATTTTCAGCAAATTTTAAAACATTTTTAGGTTTTACAGAGATTTTAACCTTCAAACAACAGATCTTAACAACAACAACAACAACAACAACAGGTGAAATGAGTGAGTTTAACAGAGTGAGAGCAGATCTGAATGTAAGGGCGGCAGAGCACCTGAAGCACGTAGACTACCTGGCCAGGTCCTTCCGCTTGACCTCGCTGAGCTGGTTTGGTGGCGCTCCTCTGGGCGGGCGCTGCTTGCCGGCCACGCTGATTGATTATAGGGAACAGGGTTGACACAGCAGGGCTAGCCCTGCATATTTTTTCTTAAATATTTCCCAATTGTGTTTTCATTATTTCTTTTCAATATATAACTTTTATAACAAATTATTAGCTTTGATCTTGTAGTTTAAAATTGCAGGGAAACTGGGGTGATCTTTTACTGAGCTGGATCTTAGAGAAAAATGAATATTTAAATTTTAAAGTTTGCACATTTCATCTTTGTCCTAACATGAGTGCTTGTAACAAAATCAAGAGCAAAAATAAAAATCAAAAGCCAAAAACTACCTTTCCCCGTAACATGAAATTATAGCTACGGCGTACAGATTTCTTCACTGCGTCCCTCCGCACGCTACCCTAACTGCCTACTCCCGGTGTCTCCTCGTGTGTAAGTCAGTACTCAAAGGAGAGAAAGCACTTAGGTTTCACAGAAGCCGTTATGTTTGTAGGAAAGGGTCATTGCCGACTGATGAACTACATCACTGTACACAGAATGACAAATAATGCATGTTAATTTTCTTGTATTAAAGATGCCGTGATTTGTAAAAAGTCTGTATTTTGCGGAATGTCTGATTAAGAAGCATTACCAATAGGAATGGATCGATAGTTAATGAGTTTTATACATAGATATATAAAAGACAACTGGGACAACTGAAATTACTTTTCTTTAAAACTATCTCACAATTTTTTTTTTTTTCCCCTCAAAGACCTATCATAAACCAAGTCAAATTCCCACTTACCATTTAGTCACTTTTTGGGGTTAGAGAAATAATTTGTAAATATTTATTTAGACCTTTGATATTTATTAAAGCAATTACGATGGAAGTGAAAGAATTGGGAGAAAAGTCTTTTTAAAAGTTTTCTCCGGTCGTCAGGGTCACTCTAAAGACAAAGCATAAGGAAGTCTTCTGTGAAATCCTCCATCCTTCCATGCTGATGCAGATGGTGATGACACAAGGTCACCGACTGACAAGCTACTTCCAGACCTGCACACTCTGTACAGACCGCCCACAGCCACCCCGCATCTGGGCCCCGGGCTGCGCAGTGACCTGGCCTCGCCCCTCCTCGCTGCTGTGACTGCCCTTGCTGTGGCTGTTGGGATAGAGATTTGTAGCCAAGGACACCTGACCTTCTTTGATTGTTTTTCGAGTTTTAAAGCTTCGATCCACCCCTATGAGAGCAAGTTATTGTGGAACTATTTTTGGTGTAGACCATTCCAGAGTGTGTAATACTTAACTGCTAGCTGCATGACAGTGAGGTTCCTCTTACTTTGGCTTCTTTCGTCTCTGTTGACACGGTTGCACATTTCCAAGTTACTACAGTGTGAAAACTGTGTGTTTAAAAAAAACAAAATTAAAAAAGATTGTGGCCTGGTTTTGTAAAAGTTTTAGGTAAAATTACAATTGATTGTTTTAGGAATCATTATTAAAATTTTTCTGCAATCATAAAGCTACATCAAGGTGTTGAGCTTGGCCACTATGCACATTGTAGGTACCCATCGTGGCTGTCCGGTTCTATGATGCATTCTGGCGTTTTGTAAGCTGCTCTGACTAGCAATATATAGATTCATTTAATGTGTTAACATTGGTTAATAAATGTATTTAAAAAAAAAAACAAAACACTGTTGCCTGTAATAAGATACTGCTTTAGTCAGTCTCCTGTACCAAACACAGCCGCACCTGGCAGCTGATTGGGAGCTGTTGGCCCCTCAAAGGGACTATATGAAACCCAGGTGTTACATACCAATTTTCACTTAAAGTTTAAGATGAACTTACAGTTTTCAAAAAAGGAGAGAATGAGTGTTACATAGCAATTCCTGCTGTGGCTGGACCTCCTGCACTGTGTAGAGCTCAGCAAAGACGAGAAGCTGGCCTAGGCTCACCCTGCTTTAGTTCCTTGGGACGGCGGGTAGGTAGGCATTGGTTCACCAGCCTGAGGCTTTAGCACCAACACTAAACATCTTCACTTTATTTTATTGATTTTTTTTTAAGGATTTATTTATATGTGTGTCTAGGATCCTGTATGTATTTGTGTACCATGTGCATGCGTGGTGCCCGCAGAGGCCAGAATAGGGCATCAGATCCCCTGGAACTGGAGTTACAGATGGTTGTTACCCACCATGCAGGTGCTGGAAACCAAACCTAGGTTCTCTGTGAGAGCAGCCAGTGCTCTTAACTACAGAACCATCTCTCCAAACTTGGTTTTCTGTCAGGTTTTTACCATTAACACCCAGCCAAGATCAGATGGTTTACACCCGAACACTGAAGACCCACTTACTGTGGCATTTCTAAGCTTCCAACAGTAATCCTGTGACATCGTTTTCACCTTGGTCATTGTTTTGCTGCATCTGCATTTAAACAGAGTTGTGTCCAAAAACCTTTTCAACTAAAAAATCCTTAGGCTAAGAAATGTGAACCCATATCATCACAGCTACCATGAGATGTTGTAGGTCCACACCAGAAAGCAGGGAGGAAGATGGTGACAGTGTTGCTGGCTCAGGCCAGATAGAGTCAGTACGACTAGGGTGTGAGGACAAGTAAGCAACTTGCTACCTCCCAGTATTTAAGACCAAAACTGCAGATAGGACACCTGCACAGAAGTGGTTCTAATACATAAGAAGCAAATTTTTCAATTCGTGTAGCAAAACTTGGTCTGGCTACTGGAAACAATGTAGAGAGGCGAGTTTAGAATGACTTAGTAATAATGTGCCTCAATCTGCTTCATGGATGAGCTCGGACTCAAAATCAGGTTGGTTTAATTGCAAAGCCCTTTTTTTTTTTTTTTTTTGTCTTTTTGAGACGGTCTCCCTGTAGCCCCAGCTGTCCTGGAACTCACTATGTAGACCAGGCCCCAGTCATCTTTATACCTGAATCCCAAATGGCATCCTTCCATAACCACCACCCCCCCACTGGAGCCCATACACTCTGTCATCCCTGTTACTGCCCACTATGATGTCAGTGCCCCAGCCGTTCCCCAGTGCAAGTCCATCCACTCAGTCTATAGTCAGCCTATCTAGAGTCCCTTGTCTTAGGAAGATCAGCTCTTCATCTAGCAGCAAGCAGTTGCCAACATTCCTTCAGATAAGATGGGGGTCTGCTGTTCATCTTCCCAGTTCTATGCTGGGTCACTGTCTGCCTGAGTTTGCATGGCACTTGTGTATACTGACACCATTGGCCATAGAATCGTATGAGCAGATTGCCAGGAGCTTATAGGACTCCATATGGTCATGCGCCTCCTCCTTGGCTCTTAAAATTTCTCTGTCCCCTCTTCTGCGATGGTCCCTGAGCCTTGGGTGGGTGAAGTTTAATAAAGGGATCCTGTCCAAGGACCTGCATTCAACAGACTTGATCTCTACACTTTGGCCATTCGTGACCTTTTGTACTCCTGGCCCTCTGCTGCCTGAGGGAGCTTCATTATTGAGAACTGATTCCTTAATGTCCTCTTCTTTATCCTTGTTCTATGTTCTGTGAGCCTTAGGTGTAGAGGTTGCATTGCAGATGTTTCCCTTAGCGTCTGGGCAATTTGTAGACAATGTCCTTGTATAACCAGTTGTGGTACTTGGTATTAGTCTCTGACTGCTGTAAAATGAGCTGCTTTGATGAATGGTGACTGGGGTATTTGTAAATATAAGGATACATATTTTTGCACATAGTTAGAAATCACATTAGTGTAGTGATGGGGTTTTTGCTAAGATCTATGACCACTCTGGCCATGTATTAGGTTATGTTACAGTACTACACTTGAGTTTCCTGCCTTGAGTAGGTGTTTAGTCAAATTAGGGAGCTGTTGATTGCCCCCAAGACAAAAGTGCCACTACTGTACCAATGACATATGCTGTGCTGGCTGTTGATGTGGTTATTTGGTCTCGGAGCTGGCGCTAGATCATCCATTGATGTTTTCCCTTGGCACTTTCAGCAAAGCCCATTTTTCAACCCTTCTGCTCAACCCAACTGTGGTATGAAAACTTATTCTCTTACCAGTTGAAGTAGTTGGTGTCAGCAGGTTCAACACTCAGAGCCAACACCCCCACCCCAGGCTCTCCCTTTCCATGGTGGCACCTATTTCAGAGCAGCCTGTCCCTCACAGAGTATGCTAGGAGCAGCGAGTGATTACCTTTCTTGCAGTCTCTAGTAGTCTACAAATTTGACGTCAGGGTCACCTACGGGCCTTACCCCTATGCTGCTAACCCCTGCCCCCAAGCACAGGCATTACTACTGAGGACCACAGCTGTATTACCAGGAAAATAAAAGTGATGGATCCATATACACATGTACAAGACAAACCATGTAAAATTCTACAGATCTTCAAGCCTACAGTTTTCTTGACCTTCAGGTTAAGAATCCTTGACCCAGTGGGATTTGTGAAATAATCTGGGTAGAGAGACAAAATGGAGTTGCTGTAATCTGAATCAAACTACTCAGACCCACATGCACACAGCTCACCTGGGGACTGAGCTAGAAGGCGGAATCTGGAACACGTCTGCATTGGGCAGGGCTGGGACTATTCTCACAAGCTTCTGGGTCATATGGATTCTGCTGATCAGAAACCAGCACCTGTAGGAAACCAGTATGCCAGGCCCTAGGGTGAAGTGAGCCTAAAACTTTTAAGTCCAGGCTGCAGTCTCTGCTAAGGAGAGGAGCACTGAAAACAGCAGCTCTGATAATCCCTGTCTTGCAGAACACTGCCAGACTGGCAGGAGACAGTGGCCTGGACATAAGTACAGGCTCCCTGCTCTGTGGAAAAGTATTTTGGTCAACAGCCCTTAGCTCATCTCCTTGTCCTGAACAAATAACTCAGCTATCCCTAGCTAAGAGATTAGGCCAGGTTAAAGTTTTACTCCTGAGCTAAAAGCTAAAAGTTTACCATGCTTTTAGCTCTAAGAAAGAAAACATTGTGGCCAATAAATTACTGGCTGGGCATTGATAACCTTGAGTAAAAGTTTAAGAATCCTTCTGGTGCCAACTAACAGATTAAATGTCCTGTTTCTTTGTACCCTAAATCTTTATATGTGACTGCCATATCCCACATGACTGCTAGTTCCTTGGGATGTATAAAAACCATCTGAATTTTAAAATAAATCGGCTTGTTGAAAAGACACAGGTCCAAGGGTCTAAGGCTGTCGCCAATCAAGTCTCTCTGCCCCAAAGCCAGTAGGTCCCACTGCTAAGCAAAGCAAACCTGAGTCCCGACAAGCACCTATCTTAACAAATATTATTTAATTTATAACTAACATAAAAGTTACTATGAGCCAGATGTGGTGGCCCACACCTTTATTCCCAGCAGTGGGGAGGCAGAGTCAGGCAGATCTATGGGAGATTGAGGCCAGCCTGGTCTACGCAGCAAGTTCCAGGCCAGCTGGGGCTACAGGGGGACCTTGTTTCAATAAACAAAAATTCATTATTTTTTATTTTATTTTTTTTATGTGTGTGTTTTGCCTGCATGTATGTAAATGCACCACGTGTGTACAGTGCCCCCAGAGGCCAGAAGAGGGTGTCAGATCCCCTGGAACTGGAGTTACAGATTGTTGCTAGCTGTGATATGGGTGCTGGGAATTGAACCCAGGTCCTCTGAAAGAACAGCAAGTGTTCTTAACTGTTGAACCATCTCTCCAGGACCAATTTTATTTTTTTAATGTGGATGAGTATATTGCCTGCATGTATGTAAATGTGTCATGCAATATCCACAGAGGTCAGGTGTCAGATCCTCTGGGACTGGATTTACAGATGGTTGTCAGCCATCACGTGGGTGCTGGGAACCAAACAGGGGTCCTCTGCAAGAGAAGCCAATCTTAACTGTTGTGCCATCTCTCCAGCCCCTTGGTTACTATTTTTTGATACAGAGTCATGTATTCCAGACTGGCCTCAAACTCACTATGTAGCCAAGGATGACCTTGAACTTCTAGTCCTCCAGTCTGTATTGTGTTGCGAGCACTGGCATTCATCCTCACATCTAGTTTACACAGTGCTAGAACCCAGGACTCGTGCATGCTAGGCAGGCACTCTATCCACTAAGCTCAGCCCCAGCCCTACTATGAAAATTACTGAGTCTTCACAATCTAGTATTTGAACCTTTCAGCACATCTTTATTCAGACTAGCCACACTGTTCCCATGTGCCAGTGACTTCTTGTATGAGCAGAGCATCTCAAAAAAGAGCTTTGCCTTAGATGCCTGTCCCATCACCCATCACTGTAGCAGACATTCACCACCATACATGTAACAGTGCTTACAAGGTCAGTACCCGGAGCTAGGGAAAGATTAATTCTTCCTAGAATTTGTGTTGTAGTCTCAAATTTGAGAGCTTAGAAATCATCTGGTCAACACATTCTGAAAAGACCTAAGTATCTTGGTGGTTCTCTGGAGCAGTTTGAAGAACCCTGTTTAAGTTCTGAACCTCATCCTGGAAAGAAAAGTGAGACCATCAGACATTCTGTGCTGTGAGAACAGGCATGAACTTCGAGGGTGTGGGCAAGGCGAAACTACCTCCAACCCCAGGCTAGGTTGGCAAATTTAACTGACTGAAGACAGCAATAAGCACACATGCTTTGTGTGGCATGGGAGCCCTCAAAGAAATCCCAGCATATACAGAAGAGGCAAGTACGAAATGCTTTTAT